CCAGCACAGGAGAGGAAGATGAGGGCTTTAGCGAGGTGAGCTGCAACTTCTCAGTAAAGATAGTCCTGTGGGCCCCAAAGGGGAGGAGAGAATGGGAATTTGAGGTCAGTGTGGCTCTAACTTTAATGAGTATACACTTAGAGGTCCTGATAAAATGCAGATTCGGATTCAGCAGGCCTGAGAGCCTGGTCAGTCCTGCAGGCCACCCTGTGAGCAACAAGCTTCAAGTGCATCCCCTTCGTGTCCACAAACACAAGTCAGACTTGTGCTTTCTCTAGAGTATGGGTTCAGAACAGTGTTCTTCAGGCTGGACTGAGTGGCTCCCTGGAGACAGGGCAGGACCCAGGACACATAATCAGGTCCCCTCCCCAAGGACAGCCTGAGATGACTTACAATAGAGGAGGAAGACAACACGGGGCGGGGACCAAGAGCCGGTAGGGGAAGGCTCCTGCAAAGGCGTCTGTTCCTTTGGCAACAGCAGACGGAGGTCTCCCGAGGGCCCGGAAGACAGGAGCCCCTCCCACCGTTCCTGCCAAGGCTCTGATGGACGGAAGCAGGGGGCCTATTTCCTCATCGGGCCTCTGAATAACTAGGGCACTTCCACAAGGTCACAGTTATTCATTTAAATTCCAGGTCTAATCAGCAGGCAGAGTCTGCGAAATTATCCCTTCTGAGGAGAGAGGCTGTCATTGGAGCACCATAAACAGCCCCTCCAGGCAGGAGGGAGACGCACTGGGGGAGGGGAGAAGGGCCTCACACCCATGGGTCCCAGAATTGTTCCCTGGGCTCTAACCCATGACTCTTCCCTCTTCCTTACTTCCAAATGGCTTCCAGAGAGTTCTGGAAGGGGCAAAAGGCAGGGGAGGGTTAAAGGCAGGGCAGAGATGCCTACCTCTGCCCTAAAGCAACCCAGGAAGACCAGTGACAAATCCTAATGTACAAAAGCGTGGGATAGGGTACCTCACAGGGGTCCCTTCCAGGCCACAAATGGGTTACATGGCCTTGGACAGGTCCCTTCCCTTCTTGGTCCTCTGTTTGCACTCCTTGGACAGCATACCCGTTAAGCTCTACCATGTCTTGGAACCTACAAACTCAAAATCCTCCGTGTGCTTGTGGTAATACTTCTTGTTCAACGGAGATTTTTGAGGTTAAGCTCGGTGCCATGTGCTGTGCAAGGAGCTGGGTACACAGACACAAATAGGACACAGCCTGTCCTATAGCTCGAAAGGCAGGGTCTGGAAGAACAAGAGCACAAGCTTTGAAGACAGACAGATCCGGGATCCAGGCCTAATCACTAGCAGAAGGTGACCTGGGCAAGTTACTGAAGCTCCCTGCGGCAACTTTTCTTCCTCTGTGCTGAGGATGGTAACACTAACCTGGAGGGGCTGACTTGGAAGGTCAAGAGAATGCCGGGAGGTGTCAGAGCGGGGCTCCCTAGCCCTCTTCAGCACCTGCCAACTGCTTATTGTTACTGTTATTGTTCTGAATCTCCTCCCCAAAGACTAGGAGGAGGAGATACGGATTTCACCCCATGAAATGGAAGAAAATGTGCCTGCCCTTTTTTCCTGGGTGCCCTGGGCCCATGCTCTGACTCCCCATTCTGTCTCTGGGACCTTGGGAAAGGTGTTGCCTACAGGCGCCATCTCAGACTATTTTACAGTAGGGTTACTTCTAACTCATCTCTTCCACATGTAAAATTAATCAATTAATCAATCGTCCCTTTATAGTCTTCCAGCAGCCTCTGGGTAAATAGTTACATTAGCTCATAAAATCCCCAATTTGTCTTCCTGAGGGGAAGGAAAAAGAAGTCAGAGAACCACTAAGGGCTTCTTGTTTCAGAACCACAGCGCTGCTGGCTCCAGAATGCCTGGCCAGGGGCTCAGAGAGGCAGGAGGGCCCCACTGACCTCAGCCAGGGCCAGGCATGCTCAGGCCACCTCCTGCCACGTCCAGTACTACAAGAGAAGGGTCTAAACCAGTGATTTGCTTCAGGCTCAGAAACCACAAAAAAGCAAGGGGTTGGTGGGGCTACGAGATTGGCCATCAGCCCTTGACACTTCAAGGACAGAAGAGCAGGAGATGTGAAATTAGGCTGTAATCCCCTCTTGGCCCTGTCACTCAACAGCTGGGTGATTGTCACACATCAGTTAACTTCGTTGGGCCTCAACTTCCTCAGCACTGAAATGGGGCTCACCCACACCCCTCAAAGGGATAAGAGAACCATATGGGACAGCAGCCAAGAAATTGAAATGGTGTGGGTCAGGCTGATCATAGCTGCTGTTATCTGAGGAAGGGCTGAGGGCCTACATTAACTTCTCTTCCCGGGTCCACAAGGGGCATGGTTTCAAAGGCAGAACTTCCCAGCACCATACCTTTATCCACCTGCCCCCCTCAATAGGGGAGCCTAGAGTTCTTTGTCTAATTTTCCCATGGGTGGGAAGGTAGACTGCCCAGGTGAGCTTCCTTTGTTTAGAAAGCCCACAAAAAGATCTGGGAGGAGTGTGGGCTGGGCAGCCAATCTGATATCAAAGTCAAAACTCAATCATTCCAGTGGAAGTTTAAAGGAACTCTTCTCATGGGACAAGAACCTGAATAGGGCAGGAGTAATTCTCAGATTAAAAGTCCCCTGCCTCCTACCTGTGCAGACTCCATCTCTGGATTCCCTCCCACGACAGTGTAGGTGTTCTCTCTCTCTCTCTCTCTGCATAATAAATCACTTATATGCAAAGCTCTTTGGGTCTGATATTTACTTAAACAATATCACTGTGCTGCCTAGGTCTCCTCCCCATTCTTGGGTGAGTGAGAGCCCAAGGACCTGGAAAAAACTTATTGATTAGGAAACAGTGAGTGTCACTGGAACGTCCCCACAGCCCTGCTCCTGTCCCCAGGTTACAGGGTGACTCACAGACCTCTACCCCTTTGAAAGGATGGAAGAAGGCCTACAGGTCCATGGGTTTCACTCTGCCATGCTATCTCATCCAGGATCAATAGGGTGCCTGTGTGAGCACTAGGAAAAGATGTCTCTTTGGTCAGAAGCAGTCTCATGGGCACAGGGTTGGCAAGAGGAACACAGGCTGGATTCACACCTCAATTCAACCCCTTGGCTGAGAGACCCTATGCAGGGCCCAGCTCTATGTGGTAACCCTTGGACACATCTCTGCTGGGACCCAGAAAGAGAAGCCACATTGCACTTTACAAACAAAACGAGGTATTAGGCTTACTCCCCTGCTTCCTTGAGGTTTCCCAGCAAATATCATCTTATCAGAGGGTACTTCCCTGACTACGTATTGTAAATTAGGGACTTCTCCTCTATCTTGCTTCAATTTCCTCCACAGCACTTCTCACCCACCCCCTGATTCTATATATATGTAATACATATAAAATATACATATATGTGTATATATATGCATGCACTTAAAGTATATGTATACATACACACATATGTGTGTGTCCGTGTTTTAGTTCACCGTCTGCCTCTGTCTAAAATAAAAGGTCCATGAGGGCACTGATTGTCTTCTGTTTTGTTCACTGTTTTGTCCCCATGGCCTAGAACAGTTCCTGGAACGTCAATATTTGTTGAGTGAGTGATTGAACTAAAATATTATTAAATAGAAATAATAAATTTAATGGCATCTTCCTAGGAAATGCTGTCCTGGGCTTTGGTTCAAATACCAATTATTTTCAAAGGTAGGGGGCAGGCAGGAAGAAATGGAGAGAAACTCTCTGCATTAAGTAGAACAGCTGTATTCTTCTTTTACGTTGTGTAAAAGCCCACATAGAACAACAATCAGAAGAACTCTACTGAAGTCTGGTAGATTATTCTGGATATTTAAGACAAATGAAAGATAAATTCATTTGGAAAGAGGGCTGCTAATAAAGAAAATGCCACATTATCTCTAAGCAAAAGCAAACAAATAAGCAATAGTCTCATTAGGAAATACTTACAAAATCTTCAATCACTGAGAATTTTCACTGATAGGTCCCAGCATTTTCCAATGGAGTGAGCATCAGAAGTTCAAATCCGAGGGCTACCATGACAAGCTCTATGACCATGGGCAAAACTGTTTAACCTAACAGGCCCTAAATTCCTGTACATTAAAATGAGTATAATGATACCTATCTTGTATTAATGCTAAAAAATTAAATGTTAAAAGGACTAAACAAGAAAACACATGAAAATACCTAAGATGATCCTCCCTTCCTATTTAGTTAATTATTATTCTTAACTCAAAGTGCTAGCCAGTTCAGAATAGTCTCAAAACCATTCTAAGTCTTCTGATACTTATCCATAAAGGGTTGCATCAGTTCGCATGATTTTATGTATGTGTATGTGCACATAAATGTGTCTGTACACCTGCAATGCTTAAAACCAGGACTCTGCACGAAGACACACTTTAAAAAGAGAAAGGCATCGTTATTATAAAGGGGGTTCTTTTATTTTTCCGTTGACAAAAACCATTTATTCAAGCCATCCCTCTTTTTTGTTCCACAGTGAGCATGTATTATTTACATAACCATGAAAAAATAAATATTGCTGATTTCATTGTAAAAAAGACATTTCTTAGAATAAAAAGAAAGAAATCTCCTTTCACCCACATCATATTTTCCATGCTAAGTATGTCATATCTTCTACTTTCAACCACATGAATCTGGAGGAGATAACCAGATGTATGGGAGACAAAGCAAAAATTGTTCATTAAATTGGGGAAGACATATCTAAGAACATCTTTACAAATACTTTCCCCAAAATGCTCATTTTCTGAATCACCCAGAAAAACTAATGAGAAGGAAGAGATTATATTAAGTATGAGAACCATATTCCTTTGGTTTTAAGATGGTTTTTTCAAAACCAATACAAATCCATCAATTCGAGGCATTTCTTCTAAACCTAGATCACTGAAAATGCAATATACTCAGAATTAAGTCTCACTCAGACTCAAACCATGCACAATATAGCAGAGGGGAAATTCTCACAGCAGATGTGCAAACACAAAGACTCACCTGGACCTTGACTGACATCTGTGGCAGCATTTTCAAAGGGCGGGAAAAGGAGAGAGGAGAAAGAAGGGGAGAAAAAGGAAGAAGAGTGTTAGCAGCACACACACACAATGCCATGTGCCCTTGCATGACTATCACGTTCATGCAAGCCCCAAAGGTGCTCAGCTTCTGAGCACTTAGTTCTACCTTCACCCGAAACCACCCATGCAAGCCGAGGAGCCAAGCTCCCTTTTCACTGTGCATGTAGCAAGAGAGGTAAGCTTCACATCTGTCCGGAAAGACATCATCCTGGAATCAGATAGGGCTTCAAAAAGCCAAGCAGACTGGAATCCTGCAAGAATATTAATTAAAATATTCTGGTTGATTTCTGCACACTGACACCAAAGCAAATCCTCCTCCTCCTCTTCGGATACCAAACACTGGACATGAAGTCAAGCAAGGTTTCCCAGCAGAGAGGAAAAAGTAATACTGAACCACTCCCTTGAGAAACAAAGCAAAAGAAGCATAAGAATTAAGAGCAAGTTATAGCATTATTCACCACACAGGACTTGAAGGACATAAGATCACAAAATATTTATAATTCCTCCCCTCCCCATTATACTCAGTGACCATTCTTCATCACAGACAACAGTGTGCGTATGTGAGATTGTGTGTGGTAGATCATCCACCATACAAATTGAAATCCTGCCTCCTCCTTTAATTGTTTTCCTTGCTTTTCACCCTATCACTAATGACAGAAATTGCCATTTGAAATCACTTTTGACAACTGTGAATAAACACCCAACCTAGAAAGGTTGACATTTGAATTAAGCCAATGAACTTTCAAAAAATGAAGAACAGTTTATTCCTATCAGCTCCATGAACAATATAATTTCTTCCTCCTTCCCTCAGATGTGAAATAGGATCATGCTGGGGAAGCATAACCTAGAGCAGCCCAAGGCACTCATAAAACCCCTAGACCCAACCTGAGAGGATATTCTACAGCAGAGGAGAAGGAATAAGGGGCTGCTTCAGGAAACCACTGACCAATCTGCTAGTCTTTGATAACTCACTTAGAATCCCTGAATGGTGGATCTGGAGTAGCCATAGATGCTAAGTACCCAGTTTAGTTCTTTTTTCTTAAGATGGAGGATGAAAAACGTGGAGAGACCTGTACAAGGTCACACAGCTACTTCAGGGGCAGAGACTAGAAAATATTCAGAGGCTGAATCTCTTGAATCCCACCCAGTCCATCCTTCATTCAACTGAAGCCAAGGTCCGTCAACAGCGAACAGGACCTGAATCAGTTTGCAGATTAAAGTGATCATGCTGAAGCCTTGGGGAAGCTGGGTGAGCATCTCCCACCTACCCCATGAGTGGGTCATGGTTTATTCTCTGTGCCTCTAATTTGCTGCCTGAACAAGATGGATAATGTTCTTCGTGCCAGCCAATAATGAAACACAAATCAGATTTGTAAAGCTCCAGTGTGTCCTTAGGGCTCTTGCCCCAGGAAAATCCAGCTGCTGACCAACAAAGCTGTGCCCCAGACTAAAAAAGAAGCATACCCATAGCAACAGCCAAGCGCTTCTCTAGTGCCCACCCCGCCTTCCCTAGAAGCTGTATCTGCCCAAAGAAACTTGTAGAAAGCTCTGACTCACCCCTCAGCCACACCCCCATTCAGGTTTTCTAGTGTGTTAGATTTAGGAATGAGTGGCAGGAAGAAGAGAAGAGGTGGAAAGGGAAAATATGTTGTATAAATAACTAGGCAGGGTCATTTATATGACCATCAAATAACTATAACTGATGAATTGCCTAGAATGGCAGTTATTAAAATACTGCTTAATTAAACAGGATATCAAGCTATTTACATGTGGTGGAGTTCAGTGGCTGGAGAATGTCAACACCATCATTCACACAAACAGGCTCTTTGGGGACACCAGGTCCCAGGGAGACAGAATTTCTTGGAACTCCAAAGATTTTTCAGTACTGGCTACTTACCTACTAGGGGATGTGGTTACAGTCTTAAACTTAGGAGACAGACAGGTCTGGGTTCAAATCCCAGCCTGTCTATGGCCTTGGACCCATCACTAAACTTCTAACAGTCATCTTCCTCTGCTGTAAAATGAGAATGACAGCAGAGCCTCCCTCATGGGGGTGTTATGATAATTAAATGAGGTTAAATACTTGTAAAGCACTGAACTAAATACAAGGCAAATGCTACATAAACGTTAGCGACTCTGATTGTTACCACTTTGGATTACTGCAGATGGAAATATCAAAATATATTGACCAGATGGCTAACTGGAAACACCAAGAGATCACAGGAGTGAAGCCAGTGATTTTGGTTCCACTTTTCTACCTATGAATAAGGACATCTGCTCCAGATCTCCCCTCCCTCTGGTTCTTTCCCACCCCATTCCTCAGCGTGAAGTGAGGGGGTGAACAGAAGCAAGGATCAAAACAAATTCCATCCTTATTTCTTTTGTTTTCCCTCCTCAGGTCTCCATTTGGCATAGTTCTAGTCCTGTCTATAAAAAATACTGCACCTATTCTTGTCAAAGAGGGGAAACAATGCCACCAAAAACAAACAAACAAAACCCTCTGGCTGGGGATCAAGGTCCAAGCTCAGTTCCTAGCTGCGGCACCCTGGAGGCAGGTCTGAGCATTATTCCAACTTTAGGAATAGAGATACTCTATCATCTGGCCCCTGGCCCAAGAAGCAGTGAGTGACCTGAATCTCTGGACTCAATTCTGACTGACAGAATGAAATGGCAAAGGCAAGAGGCAGACAAAGGAGGGGGATGGCTGGCAAGCGGCGATCAAAACCTTAGCAGTGTCCATCTGCCAAACTGCATGTCCAGCATCTTTTTCCTCTTCTTGTAACAACCCTCAGCTGTTTTCCAGGGAACCCCCACTTCCCACTCTTAGTCCATGTGGTTTGGTAGAGATGACCCCCACTCCCACTTGAGCTCCAAGGGTATTAGTCATGTGACTTAAGTCAGGTCTTGAGATTATTCTGTCTCCAATAATTGGCTCAAGAACAGACATGTGGCCCAAACCCAACCAGTGGGAGTCTTCCCAGGGAATTTTACTGGAATTATCAGGAAACGGAGTGCTTTCATTTCTCTGAAGCTGCCATATTCCATCTTTGTTACCCTATAAACACAGCTTACCTAAAAATGTGGGGAGCGTAGAAGAAAACAGCTTTCCTTAATATAATAAGGGGATTAAGATGAGCTAGAACCAAATCCCAGTTCCACTCCCTCATCTAGAGGCAAATGCCTTAGCTTCTCTGAGCCTCAAACTTATCATGTATAAATGGAGATACTAAAAGTATCTATTTCCATGAGTTTTATCAGTGAAGATCATCTAGTCACCATTCAATACATATTGACTGAGCATCTATTATAGGCCAGACTCTGCTTTAAACATTGGAGATACAATCAGTGAATGAAACAGATGATACTCTTGGGTTTTAATGGGAATAAAAACAGATATATAATAACAAATAGTGATTGGAACCAAGAAGAAAGGAAAAGCAGAGTAAGTGCCAGCAGAGTATCCTCATTCTAGAGAAGGTAGTTAAAGAAGGTCTTTCTGAGGAAGCAATATTTGAGCTGATATCTGATGAAGGTGAGGAACACTCTTATGTATACCTGACAAAGACTATTCAGGCAGGGGAATAGCAAATACAAAACATCTAGGCTGTACCTGCTCAGTTAGCTATTTCTTCTGCCATGACAGAAAAACCACGAACTGGCTCACATTACCTTCCCCCTCTCACCTTCCTAGCTCTACCACTCACATGCATCCTCTGTAGGTAACAGGTACTCAAGAAATACTCAAGGGAAAAAAATAATCCTGATGAAAACTAGCTCTGGCCCAGTTGCAGCCACCTCCCTTATGATCTCCATGCTCTAAACAAGAGAAACAAAACAGGAAAGAAAGAATTGGAAACCCACCTCCATCTTTCACCCACTCTCTTCAGCATCACAAGCAGGGAAGAAGTAAATTAGGGCATTCCCGCCTCCACTCAGAACCCCACGGACACTTATTGCATATGCAACAATAACTTCAGCCACAAGTGCATATGCTCAGCATGATTATTCTCAAGTCTAAAGGAAACAATTTTCTGCAGTTTGGAAAATTTGGTTCTCCTACCTGATATGGTTTGGCTGTGTCTCCACCCAAATCTCATCTTGAATTGTAGTTCCCATAATCCTCACAAGTCATTGGAGGGACCCCATGATAGATGATTTAATCATGGGACAGTTACCCTCATGCTGTTCTTGTGATAGTGAATGAGTTCTCATGAGATCTGATGGATTTATAAGGGGCTTTTCCCCCTTTTGCTCAGCACTTCTCCTTCCTGCCGCTATGTGAAGAAGGACATGTTTGCTTCTCCTTTTGCCATGATTGTAAGTTTCCTGAGGCCTCCCTAGCCCTGCAGAACTGAGAGTCAATTAAATCTCTTTTCTTTTTAAATTACCCAGTCTCAGGCATTCCTTCACAGCAGCATAAGAACAAACTAATACATAACCATTGAGGGTAAAAGAAAGGACATTCACCGTTACCTCAGTTGGGGTAGCCCTCCCACCTCACCCTTCATTTGTACGACATCATCAGGACAGGTACGAGTCCAAGATTCCCCCAACTTGCTATTTCAACTCCCCCATGCCACTGGAGGAGCTCTGGGGAGCATGGGACAGGCTGCACAGCCAGCATCCTGGAGGCAAGTCCCAGTCAAATCTTCTGGGACCCCACCTGCTGAACTCTGCCTTGAGACTGACCTATTTTCTTGGAGAGAAAATAGAATATGGATTTAAATGCAGTGGCGCTCTGGAAAACTACAGGCCCAGCAGTATGAGAAAATAAAACAGCAGGAGTTAGCTGAGGAAGTGTGCTGGCACTGGGGAAAATGCCACTGCCCCTTGATCAATCGTACCTGGTTTGTCAACTGCCTTTTCTTCTGCAATCTGCCCCCACTTTTTGTCCATTAAAAATTTATATACACATACATATACACACATATTTACCTATGT